GAAGCAGTGATTTATTGCACAATAAGCCTGCAATGCAATGGAACTATAGAAGAAAACTGTGTTGCCCAAAAAAAGTAACTAAAACTAAAACAATAAGCTGCTGATTACCGCTTTGTATTCTATTATATTTTATACTCTGAATTGTCACCTGCCACCTGAATTTTGTGTTTCCCTGGTGCAGACAATGTCCCCAGAGTGCAGGAAATTAAGTGTTTAATGCTTTATTATTTCTAAATAATTAAAATATGTTCTTTTCTTGTTGTCATGGGCCTAGTGTTTCGTCACACCCCTAATCTAAGCCCTTAAATGGAAGGATGGTGTAGTGATGAGGGTTGTTGGTGGGCCGCCTGGGCTAAAAATGCCAGGGCCAATTTTCTGTCCCAGTCCAGCCCTGGTCTAGACTAAACCAGGTACAGTCTGAACTTTGAGTACAGGAATGGAGGGTTTCAGAGACAACATGGGCCCTCACATCAGCCGGACCAAAGCGGTGCAAGTGTCAGTGTTTATTACCAACGCGGTTGTAATTTTCACGGCCCTCGCCCGTGCTGTGTAAGGAGCAAATTGAGTGCTCATAAGTAGTGTTGGTCTTAAAATGAGGTGTGGTTAGGCGCATTGCTATATTGATCAGAAAAGCCTTAAGGGACCCTATTGCACCCGGCGCAAAGCGCAGCGCAAGCGTCATTGCCAGTTTCCAACGCATGCAGTTATAATTTTCACGCCCAGCTGAGCGCTAATAGGAGTGTTGGTCAGGCGCATTGTTGGCACGTTGCTGTCTTAAGGCAGCAGAAGGCAATTGCGCCTTTGACCAAAAAATAAAATAATATAGCAGGTCGTAATTCAACGGCGCAGCATTTCACTGTTATATTATCCAGACAGGAAGTTGCTCTGAAGAGTGACGCTGTGCGCATTTACGCACGAGGCACAGCAGCAGAACCTCATTGATGATTTAAATCTCCTCACACGCCAACATGATCTGTCAGGATCAAATGTTAATTAATGTCCAGTGTTCTTCTACACATCCAAAAGGTCTCACACACAGTGAAGATGTATGAAGGAAAGCGGCCGTCATCCTGATTAATCCAGAGGTCTAAATGATTTCAGAAGCTAAAAGTTGAATTCTGCGTCCTCAGGAGAGTTTCCTCTGTGCTGTCCTGTCATGTTTATAATACACTGTTTAGTTTTGCTGCTTAAATGCCCCATAATTTTTGTTGGGACTTTATTGTATACATGGAAACATTTCAAATGACTGACAGCAGCCTATCATGAAAGAAAACACTCAACAATACAACAATAAAACACAGGAAAGACACCATTGTAAGGAAGAGGTGTTACCCACGACCGGTTCATCCTAGTTTCTAATAATGCAGCGCAGTGAGGGTCCAGACGTTTCATAGAGGAGAGTCAGAGTCTGTCTGTCTGGAACTTCACTGAGGAACCACAGAGCTGCAGAGGAACGACAGGTTTCACGATCAGAGACGGTTTGTATGTAATTCTCTCCATACTTGCACCATTTTATGGTTTATGTGCCATCCATCCGCCGTTTAAACAGCAACGCGGCAGGTGCACCTGACTTTTAAAGGGAATGGGCGGTGATTGGTTTAATATGATATATTAATTAAGAGACTAATTACAACCCCTTGTGCCTTACTTTGCACTTACATGGTTATGCACCATTTAAGTAGCAAAAGTGGAGTTAGACAGGCCCCAAATAGGCTACATCGTTGGAGTAGCTCCCCATAATTTAGTTCTAGGCAACACAAGATCAGACCTGTATGCGTGACAGGACGTGAGATGCCGGCAGAGTTACTACTGAAGCTTCAAGCTAATGTTCCAGCAGTTTCTTGCTAGGACAGGTAGCATTAATACTAAAAGAGTCTTTTCAAGATTTATTTGAGAAAATATAAAGAATACAAATATGTATGGAAAGAACAATTTGTATATTTAAGAGTTTTAAACATTTCAATCTACAAATATCTAAAATAGCTCAGCATACCTTAGTTACTGTATATAGATATACTGAACTACATATAAAAGTAATATAAACAACACTGTACAGAAAAATGGCACTGAAAGGCTGAGAAAACACAGCTATGTACAGAGCAGATTCAAACTCTCGTGGTATTTCCTTCCATTCGCCAGTTTCTTTAAATCTTTTTCTGTCCTGCCATCCTTCACAGCTGACCGTGTCTCAGAGCAGGTTGTTCTGTGGACTGGTCTTATGAAACTGTGATTTCTTCAGTGTCTGACTCTGAGGACTGTTTGCTGGACTCTGACGGAGAGGAAGGATTGTGATGATGGTGGTGGTGGTGGTGAAGATGTGAGTCCTGGCTGTCCAGCTGTGCCTGGCTGGGGGGTGCAGTCCTGTCCAGCCTGTGGCAGTAGGTGCTGCCTACATCGGTGAGGTCTGGGTGGGGGTTGGTTTTAGTGGGAAGGGTCTGCTGGCGACAGCCGCCCGTCGATAGCAGCTCCCTCTCCTTGGAGTTCCTCCATTTCATCCTGCGGTTCTGAAACCAGATCTTCACCTTCACAGGACGCAGAAAAAAGAACAATAAGTCAACGTCACAGACCTCCTCACCACTTTGTTCACAGCCGGACTGAGGTACAAAATGAACAGGAAATCACTTCAAGCCCAGATTAAAATGCACAGATATGCAATATAAGAGCAATGGAGCATAAACATATGTTTGTACTTGCTCAGTACATGGAGGATTGTCTAAAATAAATTTACCAAATCTAACAGTCCTTGGTGTGTACCTGGGAGTCTTTAAGTCCAAGTTTACTGGCAAGTTTCTTCCTGTCCGGTTTGCTTATGTATTTCTGCCTCTGGAAAGTTCTCTCAAGGGCCTTCCTCTGGAGGTCTGAGAACACAGCCCGCCGCAGCATGCCCCTCCTGGGCTTCCCTCTGGGAGCCGGGGGCCATGAAAACGTCCCCGGGACAGGAATCGCAGTGGAGGAGGCTGGCAGGACAAAACAGAGCAGAGTAGAGATTTAATAGCCAGCCCCGTTTTCAAATAAAATGTGGCCCTCGTTGGGTCCCTGTCCCCAACTTTGATGATACAGATTCTTCTACAAAACATATCCCAGGCTGTAGCTCTAGCCTTTTGTTGGATTTTTCAATTCAGTTGATTTGTTTTCACAACTGGCTTTAAAAGTAGTCCAATTTTAATATACAGTATTCTGACTGTAGAAGATTAGATTTCTTTGTCATTTCTAACTACAGCTAGCTCGCCGCTAAACTCCCAAATCCCAAGAAAACAGAATTACAGTAGACATATATATATATATATATATATATGAAAAATATACATTTTAGTAGGTTTAATACAAGATGTGTGCAGGTCCTGGGAAAGAGTCATTATCTAAAAGCAAGCCATTAAAAGGCTTCTAATTCATATTTACACGTTAAATAGGTGAAACATTTACTACGAACAAAAATGACAGTTTCAGGTGTCTGTAGGAGAGATGAACTCTCTAATCCATGACTGCTGACTCTACTACCAGAATAATGGCTTTACCAACTCCCTTTATGAACGCTACTCTGATATTTAACACAAATTATAATACATATTACATGTAACATTACATTTCTAACAATTCATCGTAAATTTTAATAAATTCTTAACATTTAGAATTTTCAGTTGCTCAGACAATTTTAATTTTGTTCCATCTCAAAGACGCAGATTGCAGGTTGATTCTCATCCGTCTTAGACTGGTAACCGATATACAGCAGAGAGCTTTTGTTGTATCAATTCATGTCCAATGACGTAAAAATGTGATTGTGCCGAGTGACTGGCAGTTGCTACAATTTAATTTTATATTCAGTGGTGATGAATGAGGTGAATGCTTCTTTTTCATTTCCTGTAAGCCTTCAATGTGTCTAAAACATTAACATTCTGAGGAACAGATCAATCAGTAAATCCCTCCATCATATTTTCTTGATGCTCTTGTTTTGTTAGCATCCTGCTTCTGAGTGGACACAAGCTGGAATTTCACTTACAACTAGACACTTTTATGCTGACTTCTGCTAAACTTGAATTCTTTGTGAGTTTATTCTACATTTGTCAGTCGTCTCAGAATGTGTCATTCGTTCTTGTTTCCATCATCAGCACACATGCTCCCCATGTTCTGCCTGCAATCTGGTGTTAAGCCCAATTTGTCCAGTAGTGGAAACAGAGCCTATGCTAATGAGACGGGCTCTCCAAAGCTCGCTTCACACTGCCTCTAATGAAGCATGAAGGAGGATTGTATAGGCTGCAAATGCATAGAGAAAGGTGATTGTGTTGTAATGAATTGAGTGGAAAAGGCCGTCGACAGGCTAGTATATTACAGACCCATTAAAGACAGGTCAGTATAATGTAGAGCTGTTAGAGAGTCTTCAATCAAGCTTTAGACGAAACAGAGAGCTTAGGGCGGTCCACAGTGTTGTACAACTGCTTATAAGTGTTACTACAGATCTAAATATACAAAAATATATATTGAATATATTTTTGAATTGATGAATATGCTAATATGAAAAGAAATAAAATTAAATCCAGCTTCAAACTGTGAAGTTGCGAATTTGAACTGTGTGAGAGCAACAAGTCTTCAAAGTGTGTGTGTGTTTCATGTTTTTATATCCCAGTGGAGACTTTCACGTCAATGCACACTAACCGATGAGGACTCGTGTCACCGTTGGGACAAAACTTAGGACCCCGTGGGTAGAGACGGTTAAGACTTGGTTTTAAGGTTCAGGTTACAATTGGTTGAAGTTAAGATAAGGGGCTAGAGAATGCATTATGTCAATGACATGTCCCCACAGGGACAGAGGAACAAACATTTGTGTGTGTGTGCATGCATGTGTCTGTGTGTGTGTGTGTGTGTGTGTGTGTGGTTTTGGCTCCTATTGGTCACGGTGCTGGGAGCTTTGTGGGCAAGCAGAGGGGCTTGGTGGGAAAACGACGGCGCGTGAAGAGGCGCTGAGTTCCTGAGCTGGGAAGATACCCGCCTCACATTTAGACCATGACAAACGGCACTAATATATTTAGAGCGTGACAAACTGGACTAATTTGTAGATTAGGACAACTGGTGCTAATGTCAGCAGTCAGTGCGTCGCCTAAATAGGCCTTCAAATTGGCAGAGCTGATTCCAAGCTGTTCGGGATATTCCCAAGCTAAAAGGCTGACGACGTCTCCAAACAGGCTGAGACCTCGCCATCTACATCAGCTGCTGAAATGTGTTTTCACATCTGATTTCAGGAGCTGTAAAAACTTTTTGGACTGAGCTTGCCTATTAGAGCCAGACTGAAGCCTTGAAGGCCTATTTAGTTTCATTTATTTTTCCCGCCCCCACAGAAGTGAGGCCTGTAAAAAAAAAATAATAATAAGTCTCTCAAACACAGAGAAGGCTATCTCTTCCACCAAGAAAACACTTAGCTCATTTTTACTCAATGTCCAGTATTAACCAGATGTGTCAGTGAATTCCTTTATTAATATGTTAATCAATATCAGTTTGAAATGAAACCAAAAACCAAAAAAACCATAGACATTTAGACTGTAATGTAAGGCAGATCTGGGGCGCCATGAGTTAATTATCATCATTACAAGCTTGTGATTTCTTAATTATACTCATTATTATTATTAATTCTGTAATCATTAATTACGGAAATATTTTGTGGAAATGTAATATATGGAAACTTTGGATTTGTCTTTCTCTATGGATGAAAAATGTTGTAATGCTGTTTGTTTACTCATCACTGAGACGTTGGCGGTACGGGTGAGAATAAGGAAAATTAAATTCCACTGACTGAGGAGCGTTTGTTCCACACCAAAGTACAGAAAGTGGTGCTGAGTTCACCTGTTTCTGCGTGATATTGTAACAGATGTGGATAACAGCTAAATGTCCACATGAAAATGAGGAATTTATCCTCAGGTTGGGGCCCAACATTAAGTAATAAGTGGTGAAAGTGATGGCTTTTCTCTCTTATAAAGAAGGAAATGAAAATCACACATTAATTGGAGCCCTGAATCTACTAACACCGATATATAGCACTGGTAAGTCCACAAACCTGTGAAGTAGGAGGCTCTGATGAAAGGATGGAGGCTTCCATCAAAGAAAGACCAAGGGAAGGACTTAGCCTGAAAACTCTGGACTGAAGAGTAAACAGAAAAAGAAAATTAACTTAACATATGTGCTGTTTCAAAGCAGGAGAAATAATCTGAATAGGAACATATATTAATACCACAGACACCAGAATATAAACATGATAAATATAGAGGAATGATAATATCTCCAAATACAATTTTACAAATAGAAGTAAATTGTAAATTTAACATTCTAAAAATAGTAATAACAGTATGGGGAAATAATTTATTAAAAATAAAACCTAACATTTAAACCTGGTGCACCTCAGCATGCTGATAAATATAATTTTAAACCAAATGCATGTTCATTTATTGACAATTCACTAATTTACTGAGCCTTCAGTTTTGAGGCTCAACAGAGCCAATATATGTTTCCAATATTAGCTATATAGAGTATTCTGATCTGTATGTGAATTTAGTGAGAGAGTTAGTGAGAGTAGCATCACTTTGTAGTGCTGAAGGCCTTAGTGGGGAAAAAGAATGCATAGGAGATGATGTTGTATATTGTAAGAATGTTGCCTAAATAAATTTATAGCTAGCCTGCAGAAATAAATATTTTTCTTATGATGTTTAATTTATTTCTGACAGTAGCTGTAGGGCTGTAATAAAAATCATAAGCTATCCATCATCATCCAGTTTCCCCTCCTACTCACCGCTCCGGGTTGACGGTGCCAGTATCGCACTGACGCCGAACTTGAGGTAGCCGGAGTCCGGGCAGACGGTCTGCGGAGAGCCGGGGCTGCTGCGGCTCGGCTGGCCGGAGCTCTGAAGCACAGACCGCTCTGTGCTGGGTCCCAACGCCCGGGGAGAGGCGCCCGGGCCGGGGCTGAGCGGGAGAATGTCCCCGGGACTTCTGGCAGAGAAAGTCCGATGTACGTAGCTGACAGGCTGGCTTAATCGGAGGAGATCTTCTACTAGGAAGCCCGAGGGGAGTGACCGGGTCAGGGGCGAGGAGAGAGCCGCAGGGGGACGCAGTAAGCCCGGGTAGAGAGGAGGCGGAAGAGCGCTGCAGGGAAACATCGTGGGTGTCCGACCTGCGAAAGTTTTCTACTGTTTTAGAGTTGTCTTCAGGGAAAAAATAAAGAGGACCCTAAACAACACAAACTCACTCTGTGGTCTCTGTGCACTCTTGGAGAAGTTTTATACAACTGAGTCACTCCTGCACACGAGCATGTGCACGCGCACACCCTCAGCCCATCTCTCCGCGTGAAGCTCTGTGAGGACAAAGTCCAGGGCAAGGGGATTGGTCAGCCGTCCACTGCTTCATTTATGATTGGACCTCAACCAAAAACAATTAGATCGTCCTACTGGTCTTATCTCTGTTACTTCTGTGGTTGGAAGCAGCTAATTCAAAAATGTCATTATTTCACTAACGAAAAATGACACGCATGTAGGCCCACTACAGCAACAGGAAGACTGGCCCACTACACCACCTGCAGAGCTGTTGTAGCGGTCCAAGGTGCTGACACGAGGAATATTAAAATCATTTGATCAGACGATTGGCAGATCTGCGCTGCTGGCTCTGTGCAGGTCGACAACATAATGTTCCTCATGTCTATGCTCTAAATAACTGACACCACCAACTAATCTTACATGAATGCAGAATTTAGCCACAAATGCATTTGTTTTTGTCTAGACAGAGGAATAGGCTAAATATTTTCGTGTCATTATATTTTATAGCCTAACATAATATATTCATTGTCTGAACATGCAAATAAAATGTTTGTAAAAAAAAAAATAGGCCGATATTTCAGCTGTGCCGCTTTTTTATTCAACATGCAGAACTTGCTATGGTGTTAGATGTTAGATGTGTGAAATTAATACTAGCCAACTACTGATACTACTACTACTACTAATATTAATAATAATAACCCCTGCTTCACATTAACACTCATTCACTCTGACCTTGGCCTGCTTCTTCTGATCCGGTTCAGCATGAAGCCGCGGTGGCCCGCTGTCCCTGCATCGTGTCTTGCTGTCTGGCAGAGCAGACCCTGAAGGGATCTTTGAGACCATCCTTTGCGAAGGTCTCTTGTTGGGTGTGACACAATTTCTGCTATTAAATAATCTTACAACAGGTTAAAGAGGCCATGTCTCTTGTGGGAATGATAAATACATTTAAGCCACTTCATAACACAAATACAGAGAAACAAATGGGGAACTAAATCATTTTCTTATCAGTTGGTTAGGGATCCAGCTTTTCCTCACATGAACCAGCTCCGTTATCTCCGCGTTGCATCATCATCATTGTCTGCGTCATCCTGCAACGTCACCACTTTTCTGTCAGTCAGTCAGTCGGGCAGACAGACAGACAGACAGACAGACAGGTGGCCTTTCCGCCTAAAACGACTTCAAGTGGCAGAGACTTAAAGTCAGCTTTGTTCTGGTCGCCTTTGATCACGGGGTTCTGTTGACTTGAATGAGTGGAAAATGAGTCAAAGTTCAGACACACAGAACACCCACTGTCCCTGATATGCGCGCTCACTCAAATGGTGAAACTCGTCATTCAAAGTCAGTGAAAAGCAGTCAGTTTTTCTTTAGTTTAGCCTAAATGATCAACCTGAGGTACACAGTGTTAGCAAGCAGCCAGTGAACACTGGAAAAATGAGCTTAGCATAAGCTAGTTAGCACAACATGTCTCTCAACCAATAGGCTAACGTTACCTTAATGGCAAATTCAAAATATGTAAAGCTATCTAACTGGCAACTTATGTTATTATAATTCTCTAAAATTGAACTTACTGTGCTTTCAGACCAAAAGCGAAGGGGAGGTGAGTTTACATACAAAGTAAATGCAAAGACGGTAGAGCTGCGATTTCCTGTCGGGCGACGCAAAGCGACGAGAAGGCAACGCGAAGGTCTTCGTGTGAGTGGAAAATTTCCAACTGGAGCGAATTTCCGCGGGTTCTTATCGCCTTTTCGCGTTGTGTGTGAATGATGTGATACCACTTCATCCCTATCCGATCCAATACCAAGTAATACCCAGGCTGGTATTGCCGATACCAATACCTTTTACATATTTTATTTCTAGTTTAATGTGACCTCCCCCCTCCCGTTTCTGTATTTATGAGAGAAATAAGCAGTAGGCTGTAGCCTTCCAATTCAAAATAATAGCTGCATAATGACAAACATCAGACTACTGTCATAGTCTTTAATTATAATGAAAATATCCTGCTCAGAACTGCAGCTTCATATTGTGACAGATTTAATCTCAGGTGTTTAGTGAAGTTTGCCTGTTGCCAAAGTATTTCACTGTCTTTGCACACACATCACACAGAGTAACATTATTACCTTCACAGCTAAAACACAGCCAGAAGTGATTTTACAGTCGGCCACAGTCAGTATTCAATCGTGGGAAATGTAAAGGGCTGCAGCGGCTCACTTCAAAGAAGCTCCGTCACAGAGCCGTAGCGCAAGCGTGACTTTGACAGGCGGAAGGAAAAGTAGTTCCTATTAACCGAGTATAATTAGACCATCCTGGTGACAGTAAGATACTTATTATAAAACACACACTCACTCCACATGACTGAGTTTAGATATCGATCCTTTTATATGAGTATCGATCCTAGAGCAGGAAACGTTGGTATCAGAAATATCCATACTTTAGGATCGATCCGCACATCACTAGGTGAACACTTGTAGCCAATGTAGGAAAGCGTCGTGAGGATTAAATTCGCGTTTGGTCTGACAGCACCATTAGAGATAGGCTAGTGTTGCAGGTTTGTTATCACACTCACCTTTAATAATTTCCAAAAAAACAAAGTAGCCTAGCATGAATTCACATGGTTTTTATGGTTGTTGCAGCTAATTTGGGACCACATTGTAATTAAATAAACAGGTTGTCAGTGTAGTGCTGTTCTGACAACGGGGCCATCAACTTCAGTGGAAAGACAAGTGAGATGAACAAAGAAGCCTTTAAAGAAGATTTGGTCAGGGACCTGAGGGGTGGCGAAGTAAGTCCCAGAGGGCGCGTGATAAGACCTGTGACTAATGGCATTTCAGCATGTGCTGCTCTTCCCCTCCATGTTCATCTTCTATGTATCTCTGAAACATGGATCTCACTCTTTCTCCAGTGCTACCAACGTTATGTTCAGTGAGCATGAAGATTTAGGAGCCAGTAATGTCTGAATAACCTGGCATGTCTTAGACGAACCAGAGAACCAAATGTAGTAGGTCCAAGTTCTCTGCCAGCAGCACTCTGATCTACATTCACGGACAGTGGAAGCTGACCACCCCAAATCTGACATTTTCTGACTTTTCTTGTCCCAGTCCATTCTATATTTTCAGTGCTGTGGGAGTTACAACCACAATAGGACAGTCGGTGTAATGTACCATTTATCATTTGCTAACAATCAAAAAACAAAACAAAACAACAACCCATAGTCGTTGTATAGCACAAAGGTGCTGTTATTTCCCATGGCTTCTGCAGCACCGGCAAACTGTTTACCTTCCCATACACGGCAAACAGGTTTACACTGTAGCTGCCATACAGTAACCATATCAATAACATGAACTACAGTTAAATAAACCATGGCTGTATAGCATATTAATTACTTCTGAAAGGCCAAGCTCCTTGGAGGCCAAATCATTGGATTTGTCCCCCCACCCCTACTGCCACTCCTAACAGATTTATGTTATAGTAATTTCACTAATATTACAAAAAAACCCAACATATTTTCTCACTTACTCCTGTTATACAGTAACCAGTTTGGGTTTTATTTGTCCAGATTTATGGATATCTGCCTTTGAGATTTCTGCTTCCAAACTTCATTAACAACAAAAGAACAAAATTAATTTGACTGCAACTTTTCTTTTAAACAATTTTTATCGGAACTTCCATTGAAGATATGGTCCCCATTAAAACTGCTGGTTGTTTCAGAGATGCTGTAAAAAGGTGTTTGTTTTTTCCTTAAACAATAGCAAACAAAACCTTTAAATGTGCCCTCAACAATTGGGGGAAAACATTTTAAACTAAAATTGGCAATGTGGAAATGTGATGAAATGATCTGCTCTTCAACAAAAGGAACCAATCATTAAATGTGCGACAGATTTGCTGAGTGGCAGACCTGCCGGGAAATACGACACCTTGACCAAAGCCCTCTCAGAGACAGAGAGAGAGAGAGAGAGAAATTGTTGCGTTCAAAGCATTTTATTCCTTCAGAAAATCCCTCTATTGTAAGTGGAGCAGATGGTTCCCTGGGAGGAATATGGGCATCAGCAGAACTAATTTCTCCTCGTGGTCCAACAGGCAGACTGGCCCGCTGCTCGATTCTTAACCACCACAACAGCTGTTGGTTGGTTGGAATTAAACACCAGTTAAGACTCATTTTAAAGCTATTAGCCTCTTACAACATGAACCCTCCCCACCTACCTCCCTGAATTGATTACACATGCAAAGAGGGGAAAAACAACTAAGGCTGTGTCCATGGTGAAGTAATAACTAGTTAAGACTCATGTCACAGCTTCTCAAGTCTTAATGAACATGTCCCAAACAAACAAATGGACAGAATATTCATGTAGGCTATATGAACTGAACACTTTCAAATGTAAGCATAAGAGAGATGAATATAAGTAGGACCCATTAAAGTCATTTCAAAATGATGCTGATAAATGTTTCATAAGAAGCTGTGTCCTTTATTTGTGTTAAAGTTATTTCCCGTCACCTGTCAGGAACACGGCAGTATTCACCAATAAGATTAAAAAACACACTAAACCAAAGTTTATTACTGTGAAATTAAATAATTATAGTGGAAATGTTGCAAAAGAAGCTTAAACAGACTAAACATTGATACCAACACTGGGACTAAGCAAAGTTTAATTTAAGTATTTCTGTGATTATGCTTTTCAAGAAATAGCATATTTAAAGACTACTTATTTGAACTAGCATATTGTTTCAGCTGCATTGGGTAATTATTTGTTTTATATGAACTTGTCTTTATTTTTTTTAAAAATCATGGAATATAAGTTTGTGTACTGTATTTCTAGCACATGTGCATTGATTCCATCAAGAGTTAGCTATCTTTTATGTTAGCTTTTTTGTGAGTCTAAATAAAACTTCTTTTACAATCCCTGTCTAAAACCTTTAAAATATGACTGTTAACTGTTATCAGTTAACATTAAACTTGCAACCAAAGAAAGATGTTACACAATTTTACCATTGTACAAGGAAATTTAGTTATCTAAAATGCTACAGTGAACTTGTAATATACAGATCCCTGCATGCATCAGCTAATGTTGTTTTACTCACCAGAGGCAAAAGAGTTTTTTGGGGGCATAACTGTTAATTACAAAGTGAGGCAGGTCTCACCGGGGGGGAAAAAACACTTATATGTGTACAAACTGTTATTATGCTTCAAATGAAACAGTGGTGTATGTGTAGCCAACTGATAGCGACCAAAGCTGACTTATTGCTAAAAACATCTAATGTAGCATTAAATCTAAAATATTTATAAGATTTTTAAGATTTAAAGAGATCACACACGCTGCCTTTGATGTTACTTTTGAAAAGTTCCATGTTTGCTACGGACAGGAGGGAGTTAGAATATTAGAGTGATCCATGCTAACAGTAAAAACTGTGAAAATAATGTATTTTTCAGTACTTAGCTCAAAAGAATCAATACTATAGCCAACAGTATCTTCTCTATCCTCTGTCTTACTCTTCTTTGCACCCACTCCCTCACTCTCTGTCTCTCTCAGTCTCTCCTGGCCGGAGCATCTGTTTCTAGGCAGTGTGGAACAGAGTGGATTAGCAGGGCCTTCAGTGTTGAAGTGCGGCGACAAGCATTAAAGCCATATTAACTTTCCATTAAACATCACATCGCTCTGTCGAGGGAGAGAGAGACACAGGCCTCCAGATAAAGCTCCTTAGAGACACATAGAGGGAGCGAGTGTGTGTGCGTGATGTATGTGTGTGTGTGTCACCTTACATGCACCTGTTCCCTAAATGTACTTTTTAAAAATGCTAAACACTACTTAACTGAACGACTGAAACATTGTACATTTAGATATGTCAGTGAAATCATCCATTATGAATATAACTCATGCAGTTTCTGAAACATTATATAGAATATTCATTATATTGTTCAGCAATCTCTACATTTTATTTAGTTATTTAGTTATGGCCGTCAAACATATTTAACAACATGGAAGTTAAGAGAAGAAAGTATTGAGTCTCCCAGAACTAAATGTCATAATATTTAGACATACCCTAATGATTGTTATTTGTAGTTGCTTACCTGTGAAGGTTAATAACTCGTATAATATTACTGTGATGGAATGGTAAAGGTTTTATTGGTTTCAACAATTATGTTGACATTTATATATTTACATATAAGCTAAACTGACTGAAAGTGATGTTTTAATAATATAATTAAGAATGAATGAAATGACTACATGTAATGTGAAATGTGTTGCTCTAGTGATGAACCTGGTGAGAATTATCACCAACTCTGCTGTTCCCCTCAGCATTTTAGTATTTTTCAACTCGAGTCTGCTTCACTGCACTCAATAAAAGTACATTTAAACAATTCACAATTGCATACTATTTTCAGTGGAACTTCTAATGAAGAAATAGTTATGAAACAGTTGTGAAAACAGTTGACAGGGCGTTCCATAGATTGGATCTTCAGAGATCATCAACCTGGTTTCCAGCAGCAGCAGGCAGCTGTTTTCAGCTACCTGAAGGCCACAAACTACCTGCCAAGAACCAGATATTTTTCTCAGCAGTTATTGGAGCCCAAAACAGATCTATAGTGAGACGAAAAACGAAAACGAGAGATGAGGCAACATAAGGTTTCTTTAGGTAATGTGCTTTTTAGCCACATTGGATCTAGGGATGACAATGTCAGGCTGTCGGACA